TTAACAAGTACATTATGTTTTCTATTGCTGAGAAACATAAAACCAAAAAACACTACTTAAAATCAAATTGGCATTCTCCTAGAAATTTACTTAGTAAAATATTCATTACCTGGTAATATTAGTCTGGTAAAGAAAGAACTGTCAGGATTTCAGATATCTAAGAAAACACAGACTGATCTTTTTTGTTCAACTTCCACACATCTCCACCCCCCGCCCTCCAAAACAGGTAGGACCCCTGGGGTCCTAGAGCTGGGGAGCCAGGGTTTCTCTCATTACTGCTACTGAGGAAAGGTCGAGTTGATCAGAGCCTGCTTTTTCAGAATAGCTGAGACACCACTGTCCCAATCCGCTTCAGCAGGAGCCACGACCACCTGAAGTCCTCAGTGACTTGGCATCTCCATGGTCCTGACTGGCAAATACAGCGCCTGCCTTGTTGCAGAGCTGGTTTAGATCCTTAAGAACATCCTCCAAGAGCAGCACATCCTTCTACAGCCATTTTGGATGCCTGCCAGTATTTTCTTTAGTACAGTTGCACACAGCTTACACAAAAAATAAACCAGGAAGCATGAAATGAAACAGGTGCATGCCAGAAATTAACTGCTTTACACCCTCCCCCTTGTTATTTTGACCTTCCAGACACTTGCTGGGAGCCACCTTTGTTGATTTTATGGCACCACGTCTTGTGCTATGACCCTGTTCAAATACAAAACCTCTCATGAAAAGCGCAGTTAAAGAAGGCAAACATTTTGTTCCCCTTCCCTTTGTAGACAAGAAAGCATTCATAACTAGTCATCACGTTAGAGTTGGATATTTTATAACCAGATGGGAAACCATGTCTTCCATGATGATGAGAAATTATTAAGCTTTTTACCACTATTCCTGGCTTATTGAATCATCTGTAAGTTATACCGGGAAATAATCACAGAATCATAGAATGGTCCAGGTTGGAAGGGACCTTTAAAGATCATCTACTCCAACCTCCCCGCAGGAGGGAGGGACACCTTCAAATAAGCAGGGACACCTTCAACTATATCAGGTTGCTCAGAGCCCCACGCAACTTTACCTTGAATGTTTCCAGGAATGGCTCATCTACCACCTCTCTGGGCAACCTGTTCTATTATCTCACCACCCTCACCGTAAAAAATGTCTTCCTTGTGTCTAGCCTAAATCTACCCTCTTTCAGTTTAAAACCATTACCCCTTGTCCTAACGCAACAGGCCCTGCTAAAAAGTTTGTCCCCATCTTTCTTAGAAGCCCCCTTTAAGTACAGAAAGGTCGCAGTAAGGTCTTTTCTGGAGCCTTCTCTTCTCCAGGCTGAACAACCCCAACTCTCTCAGCCTGTCCTCATATATGAGGTGCTCTACACAGAATCACAGAATCTTCTAGGTTGGAAGGGACCTTAAAGATCATCTTGTCCAACCATCAACCTAACTGACAAAAATAGACACCCACACAACAAACAAGGAACATCATCACTAAACCATACCTCCCAGCACTACATCAACCCGTCTTTTGAACACCTCCAGGGATGGGGCCTCAACCACCTCCCTGGGCAGCCCATTCCAATGGCTGATAACCCTTTCAGTCAAAAAATTTTTCCTAATATCCAGCCTGAACCTCCCCTGGCGCAACTTGAGGCCATTTCCTCTTGTCCTGTCGCCTGTGACTTGAGAAAAGAGACCGACCCCCACCTCTCTACAACCTCCTTTCAGGCAGTTGTAGAGAGCAATAAGGTCTCCCCTCAGCCTCCTCTTCTCCAGGCTGAATAACCCCAGTTCCCTCAGCCTTTACTCATAAGACTTATTCTCCAGACCCCTCACCATCTTTGTTGCCCTTCTCTGGACCCGCTCCAACACCTCAATGTCTTTTTTATGGTAGGAGGCCCAAAACTGGACACTACCCCTCTGATCATTCTCGTGACCCTCCTCCAGACCCATTCCAACAGGTCCATGTCTTTCCTGTGCTGAGGGCTCCAGGGCTGGACACAGCGCTCCAGGTGGGGTCTCACCAGAGCAGAGCAGAGGGGCAGAATCACCTCCTGTGACCTACTGGCCACACTTCTTTCGATAACAGATAGTGCCAGCAGCTACGAAACGATCCAGATCAAATCAAGAGGACTTAATGCATAGAACGAAAGGTCTCAATTTCAAGGAGACAAACTTTGACACACTGAGTGATGTGGTAAGGCCGGGCAAGGAATGCCCGGTGGATTTGGGGAGGAAAGCTGCTACCGCTGCCTACAAGCCCCCTGCAAGCCGGGCCGGGCGGGCAGCACCGGGCCGTGAGGCCCCCGGGGAAGGCAGGAGGGAGAGCGAGCACTCCCGGGGGAGGGAAAGCGGGACGGCGGGCTTGGGGGGGCGGTAGGCAGAGGGTCCCGGGTGGGGAGGAAGCGGGACGGAAGAGGGAGCGGAGCGCGGCGGCGCTTCCGGGGGTTCCGGCGCTTCCGTCGGCGTCGCGTGGCAGCAGCGTCATTGGCGGAGGAGGGGAAGTGCGTCAGCCACGGGCGGAAGAGGAGGGGAGGGAGAGAGCGGCGGCGGGGCGGGATGGCGCCCCTCACCATCTTTGTTGCCCTTCTCTGGACCCGCTCCAACACCTCAATGTCTTTTTTATGGTAGGAGGCCCAAAACTGGACACTACCCCTCTGATCATTCTCGTGACCCTCCTCCAGACCCATTCCAACAGGTCCATGTCTTTCCTGTGCTGAGGGCTCCAGGGCTGGACACAGCGCTCCAGGTGGGGTCTCACCAGAGCAGAGCAGAGGGGCAGAATCACCTCCTGTGACCTACTGGCCACACTTCTTTCGATAACAGATAGTGCCAGCAGCTACGAAACGATCCAGATCAAATCAAGAGGACTTAATGCATAGAACGAAAGGTCTCAATTTCAAGGAGACAAACTTTGACACACTGAGTGATGTGGTAAGGCCGGGCAAGGAATGCCCGGTGGATTTGGGGAGGAAAGCTGCTACCGCTGCCTACAAGCCCCCTGCAAGCCGGGCCGGGCGGGCAGCACCGGGCCGTGAGGCCCCCGGGGAAGGCAGGAGGGAGAGCGAGCACTCCCGGGGGAGGGAAAGCGGGACGGCGGGCTTGGGGGGGCGGTAGGCAGAGGGTCCCACTGGCCCGGTAACCCCGCTAGAAGGTGAAACGCTGCTGAGCCCCGCAACAAGCGGGGGGGAGCGGCAGCCCCGCAGGCCCCACCGGGCACCCCCGGCCGCTTGGCGACGTGGCAGCGCGGCGCCTTCCTCCCTCCCTCCCCTCCCGCCCTCCCTGCGGCCCGGGCAGCGCTGCCGCCTCACCTCCGGCGGCACCGGCAGGTTCTCGGCCGCCGCCTTCAGCTCCAGCACGGAGTCGGTCTGGCGGTCGCTGAGGGGCGCGGCGGGCAGCGGGCGGCGGTCCCACAGGCTGAGGCGATCCCGCACCTCCCTGCCCGCCGGCTCGGC